CACAGGAACGTAAGGACTTCGCTGACCAGCTTTCGTGTTGTCAAACGCGGAGAAATAAGCGAGGTAGCGAGTGCGATCATAACCTGCTGGTGTGCGAGGGCATCGTCGGCGCCGAACTTGTTGTTCATCAAGGCCTTGAGACACTTGATGATATCGTATTCGCGGTCCAAATGCCTGTCAGCCTTCTGGTCTGGTGCCGGTCCGAGGGCGGTCTTGCGGTTGATCTTCATCAACACGTTTGTCAACGCGACCTGACCCTGGCACTCGATGAAGCGCTTGACCCATCCTATTTGTTGCGTTCTGAGATTGACCTCCAGACTTCCTAGGCCCTTCGTGTCCAAGCTGTTATCCATCACACGTCGGACGTACCATTCTGGCGATCCTTCCTCGTCCGAGTTTACCAAGATTTCCGGAGTCGCGTATTGATTCGGTTTTGCTGTCTGCCTCCTCTTTTGTTCTCCTTGCCACTCGGTCAACCGGTCCTGGTAAAGCAATGTCCATTTCTTGTCGGGCGGGTACGCGACCATTTGGCGGCGAGCCTGTTCGGGTAAATTGTGCCATCCTCTCTTCTGCATCAGAGCCAGAAACATCTGGTTGATGATGTCGTCGTTGTCCGGTCGGGGGAAGTGGAAGCCATCGTGTCCAGTCGGAACCATGCCGGGAAATTTTGTCAGTCGGTGCGAAGATGGGTGTGACGAGTCCCTATAGGACGTGTGCGAGGAATAGGAACTCTGCGATGAAGCACTGGGTAGTGCTGGTCTTGATGAGCGATTTGCGGTCTTGTCTAAGGTGCCTCCATTACCTGATGAGAATATGCTGGCTTGGTCAGCGGAACTTCGACCCCCCGATGTCATGTACGAATCGTATCTGGGGTTGTGGGACCCATTGATTGTGCTCGCCATACTAACGCGAGCCGGCCCTGGGCCCCACTGCTGGTATTGCGTCTGGCGACCAGTGCTCGCCATTGTGATGTTCGACTGCGGAGTCCGCGAACTATTCGATCCGCCCGCCATGCTGGATGGATCAAAGTTGGGATATTGGTGAAAGTCACCACCTTTGTTGAGATGATGTGGCGAAGGGCCGCCGCGCAGCAGCGCGATTTGGTCTGGCTTGGGCAAGTATTCGACCGGTACTGGAGATCGAGAATCGGGTACGGCTTCGTAGGGAATGCTGGTCATTGGCCCAGCCGACAGGCCGGAGTCGGGGAACTGGTCGATTGAGACGGAAGACGAGTCGCGATGGTGTCGAGAGGCACGGGAGTGTATGCTGGCGGTATCGAAATTGTCGGCTCCTCCAGCCAAGTAGCGGCCTTCGTCGCTGGTGTTGCGTTTATCTTTCCTGTTCCGCGAGAAGAAAGATTTCCCTCCCGAGGACTGCCTCGACTTGTCGGTGGAAGACATGGTGGGCGAGGGTAGACTGGGAGGCAGGTGAAACACCTGGTCCTCTCACGTAAGGCTCGATCGGTGCGTAAGGGTACGGTATCTTCAGGTTCAAGACTGACGGGACTGGGTAGTTCGGGCGAGAATGGTGGCCAAGGCCGGTCGCATGATTGAAGCTCTACCCGTCAACGTGGAGCCCTCTGGTAGGTGTTGGGATGTGTCTCTGCAAATGTGGCGCGTTGGATCTCTGTTCGCATGAATCGGTTATGTTTTAGCATGTCTTCTGCCCAAGTTTGGATCGAAGCAGACAGAGGTTTGGGAGTCGGGGACGGGGATTGGCGGGGAGGGGAACCCCTGGAACACACAGCGAGCGTGGACGTGGACAATGGACATACATTTCGTCGCCCTGGGAATGCGACAAGTTGCTGCCGGGCGGACTGGCGGAAGAGAGAGACTGCCGAAACGGTCGCTCAAGTCTTGCGCGTTGTTTCGTTGGGTAAGCGCCGAATTAGATGAGCGACCGGCGTGGATGGGGCCGCGGGGGGTTGATTAGGAAATGGAAACGACTTGAAGATCGAGTCGCGAAAAAAGAAGGTGGTGTGTCACAACGTGTGCGACTGAGGGCCGCCGGGTATCCAAGGCCAGGTCAGGTTTGTGCGAAGGAGTGTAGCTGTGTCGCGGAGCAGAGCAGAGGCAAGGCACTCGCAAAGCAAAGCTGGTGGCAGGCTGATGGCCTCCTGGTGCTGGCAGGTTGGCGATGAAAGGTAAGGTGGACAGCGGACGGCGACGGGGATTGCCGTATGTGTTTTGGGCTGAGGTCAATGTTTCCCACGTGAGGGTAGGGAAGGGGGAAACGGGCAGCTGGATCCTAAGGCGCGGGTTCGTTCCTTCAACACTGGCACACCTTCCTGAATCCCTTAGCCGTCTCTATGCTCTCCGATGCTTGTTGAGCCTTAGGCGGGAGGAGGGCGTTCGCTGGCGAACGGCAGTTGACTACCAGTTTTAGTGCCCAGCGGCGTTGATCAGGGAAATTCGACAAACATGGGGGAGGGGAAGACGAAGGAGTGGACGTGTGTGCGCGCACGCTCTCTGCCGTTCTCCCTCTCTGGGTGGTATTTGCCCTCTGTTTCTCAGTGTATATCTCTCGTGTCTGCAGGGCAAGGCCGTGACAGTACCGTAAAGACTGGACAAGACCGAAGACGACGTTGCAAGTGCGGAGTCCCCTGATGAAACGGGGCTCGACAAGGGGCCGCGATTGACTTGACACTTCAGGGGCAGCAGATGTGCGAGTTCCTTTTGAGAAAACCGCCTGAGCGTTTTGGGGGGGAGGGGGGACGTTCTGGGTACGTAGGGCGGCGGGAGGACGGGTACGTAAAGCGAGGTGAAGATTGGTGCCGACCTCGAAGTGCAGAGTCCAGACTCGTTCTTTGTGTGTGTCGGGAGCAAGGTGTTGGTTGACTTGGCCACCGGCGACCCAAAGCGTTGCAGCAGTGACAGGTGGAATGGAGCAGAATGCGGAGGGACGAGCGAGGCAAAAGCAGAGTCAACCGAGAAAAACCACGATGGTGAAAGCAAGAAGACGCATGTGTCAAGTGTCACTGTCAAGGCGAGGCGAGGCGAGGCGAGGAGGAAAGCAAAAGAGACGGAATTGGCGCCTCGGGCTGTGGGCGATGAACGACGCCTCAACTCCCAAAAACGCACTTCGAATGCGCCGTAATACGGAAGCTTGAACAGATCCGGCGCCAACAGTGGAGATATTGTTGGCGCAGTCGTTGCAGTCGCTGCAAGTGCTTGACTTGTGGTCTGCGGGACGCTGGAGCACTGGGGCAATCGGGCGGGACTTTGTGATATTCGATATTGGCTTCTCGTTGATGCGATGCTACCTTTTTTCGTGCCTACATAGTAGGTACCTGACCTACTGACGCAGGGGAGGGAAGGGAGGCCACTGCAATGCTGGGCTTGCTGTGCCTCTCAGGGGGTTGGGTGAATTGAGCGACCAGAGACCGGCGCCAACATTGGCAGAGATCAGAGTCCGGACAGCCAGAACAGACCAAGAACGGACCAGATAAATCCAAGTCCGTGGGCGAGCCAAACCGCGTACGCCCAAGATCGCCATCGGCATCTGCAAGCCTGGAAGCTAGGTCGCCCGTCGCACGTCAAGCTGGAGCTTGAGTCCTTGACGTGCTTTTTCTTCGGTCAAATCAGATCGAGAGTTCGTCGGCTCAGTCCGTCAGCTGCTGCTCTTCAGAAGTCCACGCGCACCGAATCCCGTTTCCCTTCTTCACATTCGTCAGTCGTGGATGCGCCGGTTGCTTGCGGGTTCGGTATCCGCCTGCGTAAACCCGGTTTTATTGGGTGAAGTCGCTGCAGTGTGGGAGCCCATCTGGTGGACGGTTCAGCAGAGGGCCCCCGAGCGCCGTCCACCCTTCGCTGTGGTGCTGAGGCTAAAAAAGACCCCTGAGCCCCAATAACAATGCCTGCTGGCAGCCTTCCATTTCGAGCAGCACTGAAGGGGTCTCGAACCACGTACCTCCACATGCAAAGCTGGCGGCGGGGATACCTGTCTATGTTTGGCATCAATGCTCACCGGGGTTCCCACCATTACGGCCCAGCACTTTAAGCGATATTGATGGGAATCTTGGAAGAATTCGACCTCGACCATGACGACGACGACGACGACGAACGACTGCCTGTCTCTTCCCGTATTTTCTTTGGTTTATTGTTGGTCCCTGCGTCCTTCCAGATCGTTCTGCGGCCGTGGTCGTATGAGTCCGGATCTCTCACCAAGCGTTGCTTTGCCGCTGCAGGAACAGAAACAGAGAAAAGGAACGAATCCTACGCCGTCAAACATCAGCACGGAGGCACGACTTCGGGACACACCATGAGATGGCGATCCCTAGGCGCACGTGTCTTATCTTCGGTCTTCGCTTACGAGCTTAGATAAGAAATCTTGGGTTCCCGGGCGAAGGATACGGATACCTTTCAGGCACTTTATTCACACGGGCCTCCACTGTTTACGAGGACGTTGTAAGCCACTGAGCCAACCGCTCAAATGCAAGATCTCAATAGACATCTTGCTGGCGCACCTTTGCATCCTCAGTCGGGCTCATGTGAATAGCGTCAACAGGCATGCTTCTCAGTATCTTGCAGAATGAATCGGATTTTCGAAGGTTTTCTGAGCACTTGAATACCAGCACGTTGACACTTACAGGTAGCTGGAGCTCACGTTGCTTACCTGAGCGTGATGAGGTAGCTAGTCACCGCGCCTGCCCCTGCCAGACATTGGACTGAGTCTAAGCCCGGCGCCGGCCGCAACCAAGTGCTTGCCGCTTGCGTGTCGCCAGGTACCTCGCTCCGCGTCACGTCAGTCGCCCACCTTATCCGCACACGCTCTCACCCGCGCCCGCGCCCAGCATCTTGGCGAGGCTACCTCAGCAATTAGCCCTGCCTCAGCCGTCCAGCTCTGGCTCAGGCTTCTTGCTAGCCTTCGTCCGCGCGCTGGCGAATTTCTTCCGCCACGGCTTGCGACAACCCAACAATCTGGATATCAAATAAAGGATCAGGGTTGGTTTTCACGGCCACCCTTCCTCATCTCGCAGCTAAAACGTCATGGGCGCCACCATGTCTGTGATCAAGGTGCGCTGCCTCCAACCCACGACCTCGACCTCCCCCGCGCAATCCCTTCGTTCCGTGAGCTGACCGAGCTTCGTTTTAATTGCAGACCCTAATAGTTCCCGCCGTCATCTCGTTAATCCTGTTCCTCGTTTCGACATACGTGATTTTGCCGCTATGGCGCAGATGGCGGAGTCGCTACAGCCAGTACCTGCCCATCGACACGATATCGACCTCGACCGTTTCGTTACGCCACCGCATACAGAATAGGATTGCAAGGATGCTGGTGCCTTCTGCGTGGAGCCGGAACGCTCACGAGCGTCTCGTCGTTGCGACCGACGCTTCCGACGACGATGATGGTGAAGAGCTGGGGGAGGTTGGAGAGGAGACACGGAGGGCAATGTCAGACGATACTCGGCGGAGCAGGCACGACAGCACGCGGAGATTAAGCAGAGAGTGAGTTGAGCACGCTTCGCTCCCAGCATCCTCATGGCATGCTAACATACGTCACCGTCAGCCTGGAAGAGGGTTTCAGAGATGACAGCGATGACAGTGACGACGATAATAACGAGCGTAACGGGGCTGGATCTTGGCGGTAGTCATCAGTCTTAATACGCACATCAGCCTTGCTAAACCAGCTACTCACAGCCTGATTGACCACGAGACAGAAACTGAATATTCAGCTGAAAACCATGAGGCAGAGACAGATCGGCTGCCGCACTGGACACGTTTCTTCCGCCTTGCATGGCATGCGACATTGGACTGAGAAAACAGGTTGGAACCCTCGGCTCAGTTGGCCGATCTAAGTCAGACTGTCATCGTCTATCCACACTCCGGACTGACCACCTACACACTCGTCTTCGGATCCCGGAGCCGATGCACTATCGGTTTCTGCCATGAAGGTGTTCTTTCTGCATGTTTCTGGTTGCTGCTGTTCTTGCGGAAGCTCGCGGGAGAAGGTGGCGACAGTGGTGGCCAATATGCGCATACATTTCAATGCTTCGAGTTGGACATCAGCTGAACTCTAACCGCTGCCTCCCTTTCGGCCTGTCTCGTTCAATCTCGTCTATGTATGGCTCAGATGGGAGTCGTGGGAGTCGCGGGAGTCAGGCGCGGTCACCCCTCCGAAACAAGCACCGCTCAGGCGCCCGTGTTTCCGTCCTGCATGTCTCTCCCGCCTTGCCCAGCTTAGCCGTTCGTGTTTCTTCCTTCGCTATCTGAACGGTCTTGCCGCTTGGCTCACTCACCCACACGCATCACACCTCACCTCACCTCACCTACACCAGCCTCTTCTGTTTCTCTCCCCCCCGCCGCGTCTCACTTCCCACCAGAGCGCATGCGCTGCTGAAAAGCGAGGTGCGCATCGAATTTGTAGAGGAGGTCAGCAGGAAACCGAAACGGTCCCTACCCAGAGAGAGGGGCATGCATTCCTTCTGACAAGCGTCACACGACTACAGCCAATGCTTGATGTTCCCTTAAGGTCGGACTAAATGCTGCCAGCGCACATGTCAAGCATAGCCTAGCAAGCCGCCGGCACACCTTTCACCTAAGGTAGCGCTCCGTGCACCTTGCTTTTAAACAAGACATGGCCTACCTTGTCGAGAATCCGGAACGGTCTAACGGCGAGGTCAATGTCGTGCCATCTGCAAGGCACGATTAGCTTTGCTAAAGTCAGTGTCTTCCTATACTGACAGTCTCTCTCTGCCATGGTCTTCGTCCTCTTTGTTGTACATTACATCTCAGTTCGCCGTTTCGACTAAAGTAGTGAACAAAGGACGCGGTTGGTCCGGAACACTCGAACGCCACCTTGGCTAATTTGCTTGCTTTCCAATTTCGAATTCGATTGCTTCTTATACGCGGTTTTGTGCACCGCCGTCCCCTTTGCCGGCGACGATGAACATTTTCAAGTCCGTCATGCGTAAGCAGGAAATGGCATCTAATCCTGCCGCCGACGAAACCTGCTGCGCAATATGCTACGAGAAAGTCGGCGAGGCCAAGGAGGAGGGCGACCGCGAGATATGGCGATATCTGCCCTGCGGCCACCGCTTCGGAGGTGACTGCATACAACACTGGCTGGGTGTCGCGAGTGTCGATGAGCCTCACTGCCCGTGGTGCCGGGTCAGCATGCGATGCGACTGCGGACATCCCGTGGTGCCGACAATGAAGCCGGTACGCAACTACATGTACTGGGGCTGGATGCCGTGCGAGATTTGCCATACGCAACTACAACGATCGCGCAAGACCTCAAAATATCTAAGAGGGCAGTTATTACCGCGACTCAACTCGCTCATCCACTCCCTCGACCACAACATGGCATCCATCCCGCAGGAGGTGCCCAAAGAGCAGGAAGAATCGCCCACGAAAGAGCCTTGGGAGGACCGTGAGGTATGGAAGAAGAAATGGACGGAACACTTTGTGGCGGAGGAAAGGAAGGCGTCTGCGTCTAAGTCAACGAAGAAATGAGAACGTTGGACCTGCCACGGCGAATGGGTCAACGACGACGCGAGTTGCGGGACGGACATTGTCAATGATCCTCCAATATTGATTTAGGAGAGACGACGGCATTTTCAGCGGATGACTATGGTTGAGCATCATGTCGGTGGCCTCGATGTTTGGTTATCGGCCACGCTTCAATTACACGGGCAAGGAGACATTTTGTTTAGGAGCATGACGAACGGGAAAGCCTCAGAGGCTATACGGAACAGCAGATGGTACAGCAGCCGAATTTCATTTGTCCATACCTTATCAATCAGCAGAGAAATTCCAAAGGTTTATATTCTATGATGTTTAGATCATTTCATTGGCTATACTTTCTGAGTGGGCTCTCTTTTGTGGTTGGGCTCTCAGTAAACTCTTAATGTTGATCAACCCATCTCGCTCTGTCTTATCAACTTCGCAGTCAACGAGTAGTTTCCGACTTTCATCTGCCATCTCTCGTTCTTCTCTTCGTCGCCTCCAGTATCCTCTTTCTGTCGTGGCCTTCAACTCAATCTCCCAATATTCGGACTCACATACTAACTAACACACGCCGGGCCCAGCAAGACTCGCCGAGCAAAAGGGCTAGACTTGCCTCATCTTTTTCCATCTTCCCTGCCTCCCATCACAACGCATGCACACCAAGCAACGTCACTGACATCCGATTTTCCGGCATCCCTCCTCGATTCGAGCAAAAAGCTATGAAGGCGCTCGGTGTTGTCCAAGTGACCGACTCGGAAAACCAGCTACATCGCTCGCTCAACCTGCGGACCTCAGGTGATGGCGGGGTAGGCGCGAACTGTGAATGGGGTGAGGTTTCCCAATCTGGCCCCGCTAACCGGGGCCTACCCCGCGCTAGAGAGTTCCGTGCTGCAGTGGACCGGCATGGCCTGCAGGCATCCGCTATCCTCACCATGGGGGCCCCTAGCGCCGTCACCCGCGCTGGCACGCAGCAGCATCCATGGAAGGGCAGGTCGCCAGCTGTGCTGTGGTTCAGCACTATCCATCCGCACGGCACTTGGGGAAGGGGGCGCGGATCGCGTCTTTTCTTACCACTTTACGCGTTCCCCCAACCCTCACCCAAAAGCGGCAACTAGCTAGCTTCCTGCGACCAACATACCTCGCCTGCGACCCTGCCTTGTCATTCATCATAGGCCTTGTTTTTTTTGTTTTCTGTAACGCCCTTGCCATTGCATTAATCGATCGGCCTGGGCCTTTCGCCTCCCTCCTCCAACATGCGATTCAAGACGGAGTTGAAAAATATCCGTACCTTCTCCAGTACACTCACTCGCCCATTCGCGTTGTGGAAACCACCGCTGACATCATCCCATCTAGAGTTTACCGCCGCTCTCAGCTCACTGGAGAAAATCGCCTGGGTGCGACTCGACGATGACACGGCACGCTTCACCGTTATTCCCGACACCGGGTCTCAAGTCTGGTCGTAAGCTCGAAGCTCGCTTTCGTTTACAGTGTCGACGACATCTGAGTTTGACTGACTAACCGACCCCTGTGCTGCCCCCCAGAACCCTGCCTATGGACTTCATCTTTGACAGCTACCACATCCAGTCTGCGGAGGAGCACAACACCATCAACCTAGAGCTGCCACTGGCGCTGCTCCAGCGCGCGCTGAGGTCCGCTCTTAACAGCACGTCGGCCTCACTGCGCTTAACTAAGAAGGATGGCGTTCCCGTGCTGTCGATGACCATCACCACAACCACAAGTACTTCCGGGGCAGGCCGCAGTGCAGCGTATGCGGGGCTCGAGAATGACCCCTTTGACGACGACGAGGGCTTCATGCCGGAGCACCTGACGTCTCTGCGCCATGAGAGGGAGAAGATCATCACCCAGGACATCCCCGTACGCGTCCTGCACCCGGAGACGGTCGAGACCATCATGCAGCCCACGGTGCGCGAGACGGATGTCCACATCACGATGCCCCCTCTGCTCCAGCTCAAGGCCATCTCTGACAGGTTCACAAAGCTGGCCATGGCGTCAGGCACCTCCCGCGCGGGACCCAAGCTTGAGCTGAGCGCCAACATGTTTGGAAGCCTGCGGTTGCGGATTGTTACCGAGAGCGTGAACGTGTCTACGACGTGGAGCGGTCTGGTGAATCCGGAACTAGACGCTGCACAGATCGATATGCCCCTAGAGGAGCACCCGAGCGTCAAGTTCAAGGAGGCCGGCCCGGATAAGTGGGCGACTGTGAGAGTAGACGGCAAGGATTGGAGTAGAGTGTTGAGTGTGGGTAGACTTGAAGGAAGAGTTGTGGCTGCTTTTGCGGACGAGCACGCTCTCATTCTTTACGTCTATGTACCGCAGTATGACGATGCGGGCGCGGATGAGGCGGTCCTCACGGTAAGATTGTGAATCATGCGGTACTGGCAACTGGCTAATATCTGATAGTACTATGTCGGATCGTTCAGCTTGTAAAATGTGGTGCTATTGGAGTTTGGCGTTGATATAGTACGATGAAAGATACCAGCTCTGACTTCGGATCATAGTGCCCAAATATCTGCATGCACGAATAGTAAACATGGCATAGGGCGTTGTAAGAGCAACAAAGTGATTATTCTGCTATCTTAGTCGTGCGTGTTTTTGGAGTCGTGCACTCGCTATAAGACAATATTAGGGTATCATGCAGGATTCTTCAACACCAAAAGCTTAACGGCGTTCATCGGGGCTGCGCCTTCGATCCCTGTGCCGATGTTCTCTGCTTCTGCTCCTCCGTCGGTGCTCCTTCCGCTCGCGGTCCTGGCTCCGGCTTCTCCTACGGTGCCGCCTCTCCCGATCCTCATCTCGATCCCTGGGTCGCTCGCCGTCCCTGTCCCTGTCGCCGTCCCGCTCTCTCCTCCGTCGCTCGTCTCCGCCCCTCTCACGGCTCCGCCTCCTCTCGTCATCTCTCCTTCTCTCCCGTCTCGGGCTGCGGCTGCGGTGTCGTCGTCTGCGTTCCCGGTCTTCGCCTCGGTCCCTGTCGCCTCGCTCTCCTCGGTCCCGTCGCTCCCTCTTCTCCTTGACCATAAGCCCGCCCTTCTGCTCCTGCTGCGGCTCCGGTGCTGGCGCAGCGCCGATACCCCTCGACCCGCTGACCTCCACCGCGTTCGCTCCCGACGTGTCACGCTGCGGGACGGGCAGACCCAGCGCGCGGGCAAGCGCGTCCTCCTCGGCCTCTTTGATCTTGCGCACCTCCTCGCGGCGCTCGCGCTCTTGTCTCTCCTCGGGGGTCTCGTTGCTGTCGCCGGCGTTGGCGTCGTCGTCGGCCTTGGCGTACCAGTTCAGGTCGCGGCCCTTTTGCCAGCGGCCGACGGGGGCCTTGAGGCTGTGGCCGAGGTAGTTTTCGCGGTGATTGGAGTTGGCGACCTCGTCCCAGGAGAAGTTGACGCCGCCGCGGGAGCCGGATTTACGGACACTCGAGAGGAGGTCCATCTGGAGATTGGATTTTTCGGCAGTCGGATCGTCGTGTGTGTAGTTCGGGGGTACATGGGGATAATGGTGTGTCCAGCTGTTGTTTGTCGATGATTTAGTCTCTGATCCGGGAGGTCGGACCGGCAGGCATGTGTCTCACGTGATGGCGCAGTTCCGTCCCGCAAAAAATGACCCCTGTAAGGTGCCTGCCGCTTTCCCTGCAGGTTCAATTCCAACAAGCTCCGGCCCCACGATACAAAAGAGCTCCCGCCTTCCGTGCACACTGCGGCTCTGCCAGCTCCGCGGACCAGTTCCCACATTCAACAACCTCACCACTCCCATCCCCACGCCGCATCACCTCAGAACTCTCTCCCGCAACAATTGCCACACCAATCAGAAATGGCGAACCCGGCCGGTCCTCCCCTGGACGAGATCCAATGGAGCTCTCCCTTCATCGCGGCCGGCATGCAGGGCATACATTCCAACAGCGTCCTCTTCTACTTCGCCGAGTCGCCCTTCTTCGACCGCCAGTCCAATAATGCCGTGATTACGAACCAGGCCATGTTTAACCCGGCCCTACTCAGAAATTTATCTACCCGCGAGGCCTTCGAGGGCGAGCTCGACAAGATGACGGGGCTGGAGTTCCGCGTCCTACACGCGCCTGCCGACATGGTCACGGGCACGGGCGTGTGGGTGATTGTGAAGCAGATGCGGCAGAAGAACCCGGAGAGGAACAGGATAGAGACGAAGCCGTTGGCGTACTACTTTGTCTGCAACGAGAACATTTACCAGGCGCCCACGTTGGGTGACATCCTGAGCTCCAAAATCGTAGGTCGCAGAGAGCCCCAGCGCGCCAAGGAACAAACGCTAACTGGAGGAAAGGAAACAATAGCAGACTCGATGCGCAAGGTCTTGCCCGCCGCCGACAGCGTGCGAAAGTGGACGCCCTCCCTGGGCCACGTCTACACGCAACCCACGACCAACGTCTCCAAGAACAAGGAAGACGCAGCAGCCAGCACGCCGATGCCCGACGGCGGCAACACGTCCAACGGCGCCGCCGCAAAGTCCACGAACAACAAGAAGGAAACCGAGGCCGCCGCGCTGGACAGGCTCGCGGAGGAATCCTTCGCGATCCACATGCGCCACGGCGGGGACTACTTTGACGAGAACCCCATCACGGGCAGGCCTGGCGACTTCCACTTCGCGAGCACGGGGCGCAAGGACAACAGCAAGATCGTGCCGCCTCCGCCGCCGGTGGCTGCGCAGAAGCCGCAGAAGCCCGGCATCAACACGAAGCTGGCGGAGGAGGCGAAGAAGGACGGCAAGGGGGAGAAGAGCCCCAAGACGCCGAGCATGCCGAAGCCCAAGAGGAAGAAGAGCAAGATTGCGACGCCGGGGACAACGCCTGCTCCGTCATAGGTGGCGAGGCGATCCCAGACGTGGCATTGGTTTTGGCGTTCGAGTGTAATGATACCCCTTTTTGGTTATAGAGTGATCAAATCACGTTACCGGCTGCTACATGATACATGAACGGTTTAAATTGTGACATTTTCTTGCGCTCGCAATGGCTTTTTACATATATATAAATCGACTATCGGGTCGTGGATCTCAGGCGCAGCGTCATATGCTCCCAGCTCCTCAGTCTCCCTTCACCCACCCACTACTTTCTCTCAACCACATTTCCCAAGTCTGCATTCCCGGCTCCAGTTTCCTCAACTCCTCAATGTCTGCTTTATAACCCTCCTTCTCAAACCAGTCCATACTCCTCCCCGCATCCTCGACGGCCCAGCGTACAGCACGCCCAACAACCGTCCACGTCTGCGGCATCGCCCTCCCAACAACCTTCTCAAACGTCTCCTCCGCTTCAGCGAAGCTGATCTCATCGCCCGCCAACGCAACCGCCCTACCTCCCCACTCATCAGGGCCCTCCACCAGCGCTCTCGCGGCAAAAACCCCGATATCCCGCGCACTAACAAGCTGCAGCTTCCTGTCCCGCGGCATCGTGGCCCACAACCCGCCCATCACGGCCCCCATCGCCCCCGCGCCGGGCAGGTACTGGTCCATGAACCCGGACGGCCGCAGCACCGTCCACCGCGTCCCCGTCCCGGCGGCCGTGTCTCGCAGGTGGAGCTCCACGCGGTGCTTGGCCGCGAAGTGCGGCACGTCTGTCGGCGTTTTCCAAGACGCCTCGTCGCCGCCGCGGTCGACGCTCGTGAAGACGATGTGCGGGACGCGGGAGGCGATGGCGGCGTCGATGAGGGGGATGGCTTGCGCTTCGTCCGCGGGCGGGACGGTGACGAGGTAGACGGCGGAGATGTCTGCGTGAGAGGCGAAGATTGACGCTGGGGATGCTGGGTCGCCTTTGACGAGGGTTATGGATGGGTGAGAGTTGAGAAGGGCTTGGGCCTTAGGGGAGGAGGGGGAGCGGGTGAGGGCGCAGATCTGGGGTGGGTTTGGGTGGGTGAGGAGGGCGGTTATGGTTGCGGTGCCGGTGCGGCCTGTTGCGCCTACGATGAGGATCTTTGGAGTTGGCGTTGTCATTTTGCTGGTGTTTGGATTGGTTTGTTATTGAGTCTGGCTTGGGATATTGATGAGAGGGAGAGGGAGATATAGTCGTGATCATTAGCGGGCATGGAGACTTTTCGGACACTTTGGTGGTGGGCGGTGTTGCGCATCTGATTAGCAAGCTGGTTCGATGAGCAATAAATGTTGCTGTCAAAATTCAAACTGAAAAGACTGAGGAATGCCAGCATCATGAATTACTTTGGTTCTCTTTACGTCAATGAAGGCAAGGACTTGTACTCTACGGTCTCTGGGAGGGAGAACCTCAACTCTACTAGTCTTCCACGCTAGCGTAAGGGATACATCGTGAACAAGGAAAAACGGCACACATTCGATGCGCTCTTCTTCGGATACTATTGAGACGTAATTGAAAGATGCAAAAACAAAATTCATAGACCAAACTTTTGACGATCAAGTCTACCAACCCTTGGAAAATGACTGGCTGTTGTGGTAAAGGCGGCCTCGGGCCAAGGCCTCCTGGACCTGTCTGTCGAGGAACGGGTGAGAGATGTAAGGGCTTCCTCCTGCGAATTGGGTTGAATAGACATGATTACGGTAGCTCACTCCTTCGCCTCAAGTGATGCATGTCTAAGGTTCAGAAATTCCGTTGTATTGTCGTTTGTCCCATGTCTTTTCTCACCTGCTATGCCTACTTTTCCTACCGTACTCCCATCTGATGCTATATCTTAACGTAACAAGCCACCGTGCCGTCTCTGACATTCTTTTCTCAATGTCTTAGTTAATGACATACCCTCCGTCTACCGAAAGCGCGGCGCCATGGATGAACGTTGCCTTGGAGCTGCAGAGAAACAAAACTGCATCGGCGACTTCTTGAGGCGTTCCCTTGCGCTTCATGGGTGCTACTGCAATAATGGGGTCGTCTGTAGAGACCTCACTTGTCATTGGAGTGCTGTCATCGTTAGCATTCAGGCAGTGATCGCTGGGTTTGGGAGACTTACTCGATGATTCCGGGGCAGACACAGTTGATTCTGATGTTGTACTTTGCATACTATTCAATGTCAGCATCTTCCCTAGTGGAATATTGTCGTGTGACCTACATCAACAGCATCGCTCTTGGTGAGACTCAGTATAGCTGCCTTGGAGGCGCTATAAGCGGCTGCAAGAGTTAGAAGTACGCCACGTGAGCTAGGGCCGAGAATCTCACGAGTTTCTGGTCGGCTCACCAGACTCAGGTTGCTGGCAACGTTGACAATCACACCCCTATTTCCCGGTCTGCCGTCGTGAGTCTTGAGCGGTTCTTGCTTGATCATCTGGGAGAGCTCTGCCTTGGAACACAACCAGGTCCCACGGTAGTTCGTGGTCGTGATCTCGTCAAACTCAGCCGTCGTGAGAAGATGCGACGGGGCTTTTGGACCGAACATGCCTGATAACGTTCAGATTCCCCCTTCAGTGAATGCACCACACCGTGGAAAAAAGCAAGAACTCACCGGCACAGTTGACAGCGTAGTCGATCCGTCCCCATTCCTCAGTCACATACTCCATCCCAGCAGAGACGTCATCCTCGTTGCGGTTGTCGATTTCAATGACAAACGTGCGCGTGTCTCCGTTGGCTTCTCGACATCTGCGGGACGTCTCAGAAAGGCCTTCTTCATCTTTGTCAAGAAGGGCGATGCGCTTGCAGCCTTCTCGCGCAAATGAGACTGCGACCTGGCGTCCAATACCTAGGGTTGTGAGCTAAACGAGAGCTGCCGTATGTTTTGTTGTCTTTGGTTCGTCACTTGAGACGAGCTGCATAATGCATGCAAGCTGGGGCAGTGATACGGGTGACATACCGGACGCGGCTCCCGTCACGACGGCGACGCCCTCAAAAAGCGACATCTTTGCCCTGCCAATCATGGAATCTTTACTGTCGAGCTGGTCGAGGTGTTCAGCAACGATTTCATGCCACAAATATCCCACGCGGGTGATCTGCACAGAATGACGATCCTGTGATGCAGATATGATCCAGCCGGCATGTAAGTGGGCAACCAGCTCCCAAAAGTCACGCGCAAGGTCGACTCAAAAAAGTAAACCGCAGAGTCAGCGTCAGCACACGTACACACTACACACACACATACATCTGGGCGCACCTTCCCGCCGAACCTCTCGTAATCTTCTGTGGAACTCAATTCAACTCAATCTAGAAAAGCTCGCGAATTCTTCGCTCGGGCCGGCACGGCCTTCCCTTGCTGCCACAGCCCGTTTGGGGAGTTCCTCCTTCGTCCGAAGTCCCCTTCAACTTGCTCCATCCATGGGGCAGAATACCGAGCGAGGGAACACGTAGCCCTACACGCAAAAACGGCAGGCCGGCCTCAGTAATTCCAAAAAGTCTGGGCTGATGTCCTTGCTCTCTGTGCCAACCACGTGTGCAGAGTTATGTGCATAGAAACGGGTTCGCACGGATAACGTGCTCGCGGATCGCACAACTCGTCGTATCCGGGTTTGATGTACATCAACGC